GGCGCCGGCATCGGTGGGACCTGCGGTGCCTGTGGTGGCTCAGGAAGCAGCCGCCCTCGGAGCTGGGGGCACAGCCGCCCCCGGAGCTGGGGCCACAACCAGAGGGGGCTGGAGGCAAGCACTGTGCTGGGCTCTTGGGGAGACACTTGGGGGGGCACTTGGGGGAGGGGCACTTGGGAGGGGGCTGGCACTGCTGCTGGTTCTGCTGGCAGGACATCTCGGTGGGAGGGATGTGAGCCTGGATGGATGAAAGGAAAAGGTCAGTGCCAAGCTCCAGGCCAGTGTCCCCTCTATGGACGGTCCTATAAAGCCCCTGCTCCTCACGCCAGCTGCTTCCTGAGCTATGATCAGGAGGCAAATAGAAACCGACCTCAAGTTAAATTGACCTGGATAGACACTTCCCTCACTTACCCCTAAAATAATGCTGCGGTCTTCTTACTGGACCCCACATTTGTCTGCCTTCATAGAAACATGGAAGCAAATACACCCCACCCTGGAGAATGTCTCTGGCAGATGTGCACCTCTCAGGATAGGATGAGGGATGCTGAGAGCCAGGGCTCTGGCGTGTCGCAAACCCTGACGCACCCCACAGAGATGCCTGGCTCCCTGTCCCTGGCCTGTCCCCTGCTGCCCTCCAAGGTCCCCTTCTTGCTGTCTGCACATCCGACACCTCTGCTCCCCTCTTCTGTCCCCTTGCAGACACTCACCGGATCTGAGGAGGTAGGATGAGGCTGTCTGTGAGGATGCTCTGGATGAAGAGTCGGGGACAGGAGGCCTTTTATCCTGAGCTGGGCTGTGACACAGGGCTGAGCAGCTGCTGCTTTCACAACCAGGGGGAGGGTGACAGAGCCGACACCCCCACCCAGCTCTCCAGCTTCCTCCTGCACATGCGCCAAGACGTCTGGCAAGAGGGAACCAGGAAATCCTGATGACGGCTCCCCAGGCGTGTTGGGGGGCCTGCTGGTTCTCCTTTCACTCATTCAACTCCAAGGTTTAACTTCGCGCCTGGCATGTTGGCTGGACAGCGAGGATGTAGAGATGCATATGACACATTTCCTGACCTTGAGCATTTCAAGTTTAACTGGACAGACATCAGAGAAGTAAACACTTATGTCTGATACCTTGAGATTGGTCCCGTGGTACCTGTGTCTTTGGGTTTTAGTTCCCTAGTGCTCTGCATAGGCCCAAGGGTCATGATTTGGTCACTTGTAGTCAACTCCTCATGATGTTGGTGATCTGAGAGCGCTGGACTCTGGGAATGAGATGTGTTGGGAAATGGATGGAGGATGGGGTCCAGGCACTGGATCAGGTGTGACCATTATGAGAACTGAAGCGAAAGTAGAATTTCTTTGATGAAATGAGCAGACAAAATACCAGAAGGACCTATAATAGTTGAGATCATGAGACTCACACATAGTATGGAAAAATCCAGTTTGTCTGTATTTACTTTCCTGTGGGATGTATGATATTGATTATTAAAAAAAATTGATGCCTGACCACTGCAATGTACCCCTGAAGCTGAAGCTGAATGATATTGTATGTCAACTATAATTTAATAAATATATAGTTGGGGATATGGAGTACAGCATAGGGAACAGAGTCGATGGAATTGTAATAGATGTATATGATGTCAGAGGGACAACAGTTTGGGGGAGGGGGTATCACTTTGTGAGGCTTGAAATGTCTAATATTATTAATACATTCTTTTGTACACCTGAAACTAATTTAAAAAGATGAAATGATCTGCCAGTGTGAAATATTTAAGATAATTATGGGGAGTCATAAAGATGATTTGCTCGATATGTAGCTAATGAGAGATTGAAGATGGTGGTGATGTTACGTGCGTCACATTTAACAGAACAAACAGATCTGATCATTTCTAAGGTGTGCCTATGATGAGTGTTTATAAAACCTGAATCCCGTTTTNATAACAGTAGCAAAATTACAGTTATAGAGTAGCAATGAAAATAATTTTATGGTTGGGGGTCACCACAACATGAGGAACTGTATTAAGGGGGCGCGGCATCAGGAAGGTTGAGATCCACTGCCTTAGAGGGACCTGTAGAAATGGAATTTCTGCATTTTGTATGAAGCTTCCTCCCACCAGGACACAGAGGGCCTACTTCTTGGCATCCTTCCCCATGCTGGCTCTCTGTCTTGAGCCTCACGCCTACGCTTTGGCCCTAATTTCAAATCTATGCAAAAAGAGGTAGAATGGGATAGTCAGCCCCCAATTACCCATCACTCAGATTGAAAAACAATACTTTTGCCAATATTGTTTCATTTACTGTCCCTCCTCCCCAGCTTTTTTTTCTGGACTATTTTATTTTATTTTTAAAATTTATTTAGCCCAGCCATCCTGCCACCTGTTGGCAGCTCAGCAGCAACTCAGCTCAGGCCGGGAATAGAACCGCTGTTGCTGAGAGCTCACACTTTTGAGCGAGCTCTTAACCCACTGAGCCACTCTGGCGACCCTTGGACTATTTTAAAGCAAAGCCCAGACTTCACCTTTTCCCAACCCATACATACTGGATTATGTATCTCAACACATAAGAGAATTGTCTTTCTTATATAATTTCAATGCCATTACTATGCCTAACAGAATTAACAATACTTTGTTAATATCATGCAGCACTTTGCTCATGCTCATGTTTCCACAATTGTCTAAAAAATGTGACTTTAAAGTTGGTTTTTTGAATCAGGATGCAAAACAAGTCCACCCATTTGGCTGATATGTCTCTTCAATTTCTTCTAATCTGTACCAGTTTTCCTCCTCTTTCACATCACTTACTTTTTTTTTTTAAAAGATTTTTTTTTTAATTGGGGAATTGGGAGAGGGGACCAGTGCTGGGGAATCAGGGGAAGGGGAACACACAAGTTGCTGTCGTTTTGTTCTTCAGTCTAGTTGTGGAGGACGTTGCTTCACTGGTCCAAGTTGGCACCATCATTG